ATTTACCTCATACCAGTTTTTTCTTTTTTTAAAGTAAAAGGTCCAAAATTAGTGTCCATGATAATCAAAATTCTGCCATGAATGCAGATAGAGCTTCACTTATGTTGAACTCAAAACATCTATCACTACCTCAGCAGTCTTATTTTAGTCAGGGTTTGAGAATATAGCGGCGTCTTCCCAGAATGTGCCAGAAATGTCTCACTCTGTTCCACTCCAAAGCAAGACAACAGGCTTTCCCTGGATTAAGAACTTCTCTTTTGTTGTCTTCTGTCTCTCTCTTTTGCCACAAGCTGGCTGCATCTACAGCAAACTGGTGCCTAAATGAGGCAGGAACTGCGGCCTAGAGGTTCTGCTCAAAGAGGTCGACTTATTTCTATAAAAATAATAAAACAAGGGATACTAGCAAACAGAAATGCATTCAAATAAATGCAGCAGAGGGTGCGTACATCTCTTATTATTTACAGAAACATTTTTGTCAGTGTATCTCTCTCTTGCTTTCTTTCATTCACAGCAAACAACTTTGTATTTGACTTTTTCTGTTTACATGTTTTTTTTCTCAGTTCTTTATTATTATTTATTTATTTATTGCTGTTGCTGCCAGAGTTAATAAATGCTAAATGTTTTCCTGTCCGTTCAAGTTACAAAATCCACAATTTTGAGGGGAAATGCACTTGTACAAAACATGGACAAAATGGCAACCTCAGAGAAAAAAATGACACTGTCAATAGATATAGAAAATAAAACAATAAACTGACTTCTAAGGCTACTTTTTGCAATATATTTTTAATGGGTCTGCCACAATGAAGTAATCTCGTTGAATTAATTTCATTGTTTTCTCTGCAAATATTTGCATACGCAATTGTTATTAGATTAATTAATCAGCATATCATGTAATCAATTCGATTCAAATCAGCCTGAATTCAAAATACAGTGCTTATGCGCCTCTACTTTCTACTGTCTTTTCCAGAAATATAACCTTTTTTAAGCCATTTCATGTTCCCAACTGAATAGACCATCAGGGCTCATCTGTACATTTTTGTTCTTGCTGGTTCTGTGTCTCAGAATAGAGAAAGACTCTCAATTACCTCCTGAAAACCAAATGTCTTCCAGTGCATTTTTCCACCTATTTCAGCAGCAGACTTGACATAGTGTCAAAGGGACAAAGTGATATGAGGAATTCACCTTCTTTCCATAACGGCACTTCAATGTTAAATTAAAAAAAAATAATAATAATAATAAAATGCTGCATGTCAGTTGAAACACCTTTTCCATTGAGGACTGGTTATGACTTTTTTTCTGAATAAAATTAGTCCAAGCAGGAGGTCAAGGTTTGAATAGTTAGAATGGTCCAGCTGGTAAATGTCTTAACTACACCATTATGCTTGCAAAATATATGTTTCTCCATTGAAAGCCAATTAAAAAGCTGTGCATTTGAATTAAATACATTCTTTGCAATACATACAAATGAAATAAACAAATATGCAAACATTCAGCGATTTCCCCTGTCCGCTGCAAAGAGTTTTCACATACTGTACTGTGATCAGTTATATGATATTTATCAAATATGAGCCATTGAGATGAATGGCAATGCTAATAGATAGCTTTCTCAAGGTGATACAGACTTTCAACTGATTCTTTGAGTTGCTGCATTTAATAAATATGCAGCAAGTCACTTCAATAAAAGCGTCTCCTAAGTCACTACTTACTTATTTACCATGCTTATTTGCATGCTTATGTTACACTGTCAAATGCATATTAGATTAGAACAATTCATGTCACAGTCATTGATGCTCTCTTTCAATAAACACCCCTACTAAAGACACAGAACACAGTTAGCAGTAAATGCTTGTATATTGCGCTCCAGGCTAAAACATTAGCTAACATTGCCTTGGCACTTGGAAGTGAAATTCAGAACCCATGCAAAACATCACCCAGTGGACATTAACTTAAGTAATGCAACATTAGCTGTGAAAAATTTCAGAGTTGCTCTTAAAATACACAATCTTCACAGAAAAAAACAAAAAAAACTAAACTAATGTAGGGCTAGGCTAATGAAGCACAAATAGCATGGCTGTTGCCGCATGCAGCAAGGTGCTTTCTCATGGAGGAAATTGAAAATTGATTTTGTGCAGAATGACTGCAAATGAACTGCGAGGGGATAGGAGAGTACAATTTCCTCTCTCTGCAATAAAGCCGCGCTCACTTGGGTTTTATTTCATTTTTAAACCACAAATCGTGTTAAACCTCAATGCCTTTTTAATACTGTGATCAGCTTTTGTATTTACAAACAAAAAGGAATTTGTGGTATCCAATTCATGCTAAATTTCTCCCTTTATTTAGATTTTTTTCCCACTACAGCCTCACCTGAGCCGAGCGTCTTATTGCCACAAAATGATCAGAAGTCTCTAGAAAAGCAATTTATCTGAAAATAACGTACTGTATTTAGAGGCGGACTCAATCTGTTGAAAGGGAGGATGTATTTCTCTGCCTTCAAAAATATCATGTTTTTTGGATTTGGTACCATGGTAATACTATGCACTTATGATATCAACACTGTACTATGGTAACATTACAGTACTGAGCTACTGTACGTGCTTGAGATACTACCTTGTCCACAAATACCATAGTATTAATATACTGATATTCAGACATGAATGTTGTCTGATGTTCATACCATGGTATTTTTGAACTATTTTACAATAGCATTTAAAGCTGAGCTACTGTTGCACTAAACAGAATGGCAAAAAATAATGACTGTTTTCAAACATATATATATATATATATATATATATATGTATATAATGTATATTTTTTTAAAAATTATATATATTTATATATATATATATATAATATTTGTATGCAGTATGGCAGAAGATGTTATGAAAAAAAAGTGCAGCATTTTGTAATGAACCGTACAGTGTGATAAAACTTATAGCTACTAAATACCAGAACTCTGTGTAGCATATTTAATTCCATTGTGAGTCGTTTTATTTTCCAGTTCTCTCATTCTGGTTGACACCATTTGTGCTCGGGTATGAAATAAGAGCCTATTTTCCTAAAGCAATTTTTAAAACATCTAATTTAGGAAAGCATCATTTATCAGTTGGCCGCAGTGCATTCACTAACTAACCTCTCGACCGTAAAAATTAGTTGGGAATTAAAATTCTTTACTCAAAGAGAGCCAAGTGATCAGTTGTGCATGGTTGAAATGTAATTTTGGTGCAGTAATTAGTTGAATTAGACATATGAAGTTTGAGTCTGAAAATGTTGTGACCCTGAATTAAACTGTAATGTTCTAGGTCTCCATTACAGTGAAAAATAAGTAGCAAGAGCACGCTACTGAATTCTAGAAGTTTGATGTGAATTGCCTACTTTCCATTAGCAAATCAGCATTAGAAAACCTGTATGCTCCAAAACATTTGGCAGTGGTAAAACACTGACTTAAATGTGGATTTGTGACAAAACTCTGACAGTTACTTTGTCTGAATACACAGCTATGGTCATGAAAAGGGAAAGATGCTTTTGCCCACATATTGGTGTAGTTCCTTGTTGGTGACAATAATGAATAGGTTTAGGTTTTAGCATATTCTGGTTCCAAAATAACAAAGAGCTTCTTTCAAAGACTCTGTGGATGTTTTTATGTAACAGTATGCTAATCAGCCATTTTAAAACATTGCAGCCATGCACGGCACAGATGTTAGCCAAGAATATTGAACTGTCATGCAAAGTCTTACTATTACAAAAGCAGAAAATGTAATAACATCAGGGACTGCTGCTGGAAATTCCACAGAAACATTTCTTAACTCACAAACACAAGCTGCAGCATTTACACGGGCTTTAAATTCATGCCGGATTTGTGAAGGAAAACAATGAACGGGAAAACATGAGCAAGCCATGAGCGTGGCAAATAAGGAACGCATTTGCCAAACCTGCTGCTTAACAGCACAAAAGCACCCACATGATGAGGGATGAATAAAACCACTTTATTATGAGACTTTGGGATGTTTTTATGGCCTTTATAGTTTGTTAACTGTAACTTGATTTTAGTTGAGTTTACAGTAACTTGAATAAATAAAGAGCTTATCTATTGCTCACTTTGGGAATGAGAATGAAAATAAAATGCATCGCTAACACTTACTCATGTTTGTGCTGTTGCTTTCAAAATGATGTCACTTCCTGTAGGGTGATGTCATTATTTTATTTATTTATTTATTTTTATTTAAAGGGATATTACATAAAACTAACAGAATCAAGTTTGTTTCACAAAGTAAATACAGCTGGATAAAACAAAACTGTCCATCTTCATTTCAGACTGCAAAGCAACAAGATGTGATTATTTTAAAGGAGGGAGGGGGGGTTCTTTTCTACACCAACTGTGTGTGTGTGTGTATGAGCAATAATAATAGTATATATATATATATATATAATGTA